AAACTAATTTTGCACCTTTCTTGTTATAACCTCATTGGATATCTTTTTGCAGATTCATTTCATTGGCATTTTCCAGGCATCTTCTAGGAAATTTCCAACTATAATTTGGACAAGTTCCCTCTTCTGCTTAGCCGGCTACAATTTTTGTCATCTAACAGAAGTACCCTTGCAATTGAATTGATTTACTACTACGTCTAATTCTCTTGGCCTCACTGATTTGGTTATCATTATCCATTTTCTACAATTTCTTTGGTGAAACATACAGGTATACCATCTAAATTTTTGATCTTCATTAAGTTATATTCTCTTTGAGATAATAAAATGAAAATATCTAAATTTTCTAACAAATGCGTATAACTTTATTGACAAAGACTCTTCACTTTAGTTAGGATATTCCTCATGTTTAAATTATTTTTAAATTGACTTTATAAGCTGATGGGCTGCCACTTGTAATTTGGTTATCCTCATTCATTTTTTCAATTTCTTATGCTAAACTCAAAGGTAACACTAATTATCTTGATCTTCAATCTTGACTTTATTATGTTCTCATTGATGTATAAAGGTGAATGGCCTAAATCCATCCTTCAAGTGACTCTGTTTTCTAATGAAATATCCAATTATTTACACTACTAGAAAAATTGAGTATATAGACATACGGTGTCACATAGTTAATATAGGATATCAAAAAATTAATTGACACAAAATTAATATATTGTCAAATGTCTATATAAAATATAAAATAATTCTTTTTCAAATAATATTTTACGCTACATCCAAAAAAATATAAACATTCCACATATTTAACACTGCAAAGTGATGTCAAACAATTAACTAACACTCAATGTTTAAGTGTTTTGTTGACCACGTACATGTATTTGACTATAGTTTCAAATGTTTTTCTATAGAATAAAAAAATAAATTTCATTTTCTATTATGGTAATATTACAATAATATATAAATATCATAAACGCATAAATATTTGAGTAATATATATATATATAACTAATGATATGTTAGTTCAAGTGAAAAAAAGTTTAATTCTTCTTAAATAAAATCTTGAATTTAAGTCTTTTGAATGAAGATATGTGTTTGGAGAGCTTCCATTTTATGGAGTCCAATCTGACTTGATGATGTACTAAAATCACTCTAACAAATGTACTAATCACATCAAATAATATAATGATAAGTAAAGTGTCAAACTTATGAAATTGTGATTAATTAAATATTAAAAATAATTAAACTAGACTTATTTGAACATCGAAAAGAAAAAAATTTTAATTAAAAATAATAAAAAGAAAATAACAATTAAAATATAACTAACTAAGATATGAGGTACGAAGATATTGACTTTACTATAATTAATTATCATAAAAATTAAATTATTATACTTTTAAGATGTTACTACTCATGTGATAGTGAGATTTTTTATTTTATTCGATATATTTTCTTAAGTTACACTAAATTTATTTTCACTTATTAATCCATTATATCTTTATGTAAATTTAAATATATAAAAATATATTATATTCTATGAAATTTCTTAGTTTA